CTGCGACCCATGGCATATGCAATTTGAGCAATTTTGCAGCCCCGGTGAGCAAATATTCGCCACCCACAATCCCACAGTCCCACAATCCGACAATTCTACAGTCCCGCAATCCGAACCCAAACTCGAAAATCCGCCTTTGATGGGGAAATCGAAGTCCTCACCCATTGAGAATCTTTGATTGGTTACCAATATTTTAATTATGCCGGAAATGGCCACAAGGCCTGTGACCTTTGTGCGAGTGCAGTCGACTGGTCGAATTCGGGCAAATTGGTTTGACAATTGCGAATGTAAGCGGATGATAAAGATAAAGGGTTAAGCGGCCTCGAGGTCCCTGGGGTCACTGAAATACTAGATGGATATCCTAGATGCTCTGTGTTCTTTTGGGGTTATAAGTGGAAAAAAGTGCGACTTATAAATTAAATTTGTTTTGCGCTGCGCTTTGATAATCTAATCATTTTTTTAAATAATTTAGTAGGGGACATAATCAACACACATAAAAGTAAGCATAAGTCAGGTTCGTATTATAAAAAATATTTGTTTATAATAGCGTAATTTATTTATTTGATTGTTTAATTTAACATTGTAGCACTTCAAGTATAGCTTTCAACTACAAATCCGAGTACAACGAGTCTTACAAATTAAATATTATACGACTAATGCATAGGGAATTATTATAATTATTTGTTTATAAAATTTGTAGGGAATTTTATTGCCAAGACAAACAGCATTGGTAAAGTAATGTTTTTCTAAGGCTGATAATCTGTGTCTAACGCATAGGATGTTATTAGTTACTCTGGAAGCAGCAAATTGTAATTTTTTCAAAAAATAAATATACTCTATTTGGTTTATTAATTTATATAGAAATACATAGTAAAGCCTTAGGTTTATACAGTTTATACAGTTTTCAAGACTTCTGTTCTTAGCTTTGATAAATGATCACGTTTCACTTTAATCACAAATAAATATATAGATTCAATAAGGATGTCTAGCAAGTATTTAGTACAACACACTACAGGATCCCCAAGGAATCCCTTTACAGTGACCTCATCATCGGTAAATTCCGTTTGACCAGCCAGTTGATAGTTCGATAAATCAAAAGCCATTTCCACCAACCGGACAAGGGGGCGTGGCCCCTTCGGTTGCGCCCCATAAAAATGTCCTTCGAACTATTCACCCCTTCCACGCCCCTCCAAGGATAATAATAAATTTTCAATCAGCAAATTGATGTCGTGATTCGCAGCGTATTGGAATCGAAGTTGAACTGCGAATGGGTATGTGAATGGTCAAGAAGTAATCATTTAGCGGCAGATTGTCCAAGCTGTTATCTATATTAAAGTGGTTGGCATTATCCACTCCACCCTGATTTTTCGGTGGATGTTTTATACGTATGGCTATTGAGCGCGTTTGCATCAATTGATTAAAATTGTGATTAGGGCTTCCCCATACTTAATCGACTGGAAAATAAATGCAGTATAATAGTGTACTTGTAGACGGACATTTTATCTGTTAAAATGTTATATTTATTCATATTTTACTTAAGTGTTTTTAGCTTTCAATTATTTTGACATAAAGAATTTGTAAATAAGAAATTTTTTTTTATTGAGTAACTGATAGTATTATAATATTTTTAAACTAATTTTGGACAAGAAATTATAAAATATATTTTATGTTTGTATGTGTTTATAAAAAAAGGTGTTTTGTTCAAGGGTAATTTAATATTTTTTGTGGAGTAACTGATTTTTAAATTAATTTTGGACATGATATTATAAAATATATTTTATCTGTGCGTGTTGTAATAAAACTTAATAACTTTCAAGGGCATTTTAGGGAAATTTTATTGAAATTTTCTAAGGGCACAGATGTGAGCCCCTCGTTTCGGTTTGGTAGCGAATTTCCGTTTTGGAAATTTATGGCATTTCCCTCTTTGATTTCCGCACTCAAAGAGCCCTACCGAAATTGCCGGCCCCGCTTTTCCGGTCGCCACTCCGGTATCATAATGACTATTGAATCTGTATCTGGATCTGGATCTGGATGATGGGATGTTGATGTTGCCGGGTCTCCAAATTGCAAAATGATATAATTCAATGAGAGTTGATTAAATTATCAGAGGAGCCAGTGGCCTCCGGACGTTGATGTTGCTGCCGTGCCTCCATGTTGCTGCTGTGCCAGCGATGTTGCTGTTGCTGTTGTTGCTGCTGCTGCTGCCTGTGTGCCTTGCTAATGAAATTTTCCGCTCCTTTGGCAGAGGAGCCAGATACAGCCGTGTGTCTGTGTGTCTGTGTATGTGCATTGTTTACACCATAGTGTGCTAGTGTGTGTAAGTGTGTGTGTGTGTGCTGCCATTTATTATTGCAAAATGCTGCTGGTGTTGCTGCTGCAGCAGCCCTTTGTCTGTTGTTGCAGCTGATGATGGTGACGTTGACGTTGCATGATGAAATAACAAACCGGATTAATTTGATTTTGCCAGCCAGAAAGGGCCAAGATCCAAGGCCTAAGTTCCAGGTCCCAGATCCCAACTCCCGATTCCCAAGGCCCCAAAAGTCCCAAATCCCAGGTTCCGAGTTTGGAGGCTGCTCTTTGCCAAGGAGCAAAGTATCCGGGTGTGTGGAAATTAAATTGACATCCGTTGGCAGCACTCCCGAGAACAGTGGAGGGTAATTTCAGAACCCGGATTTATTTGCAGCTCCACGCCTGAGTAATTCAACTAAATCACTTGCTAAGTCACACTTCGCACAGTGCTAATCAGAAGTGTAGGGCTTTTGGGCTGACTAAAAAGCCCTTGTACTCTTTGAATTAAATACTCAGAAGTTTTTTTTGGACTTCTACATTTTTATTTATATGGATTACAGTTTAAGCAGTTACTTTATTTATTAAATTACTATTTAAAAGTACAAATAAAAATTAAAAATAAATTCCAACTATGCGCTAATGATCACAGTTTAAAATAGTAGAATTAACGTAGGACGGTAAATGAATTTAGTAACTTAAATTACCAAAATCCCACTTAAAACTGACCTTAAACAGCTGAACATTACTGTACCAGACTTGCGGCACTTTGCCAAAAAATCGGTGGCAAATTGTAAATTTTCTGGGCTGCCACGAAATGCACTGAGTAGCTGCCCAGAAAGTATACGACGCGTATATATAAAATATTCCATATAAAGTACCTCCCTCGGAAGTCAGAATTCAGAATTCGGAATTCGGGTCTGCCAATTTCTCAGGCAAGTGGATTTTGAAGATTTATGGGGCTCCTGGTAGGCAACCAAGACTTGGTGACAGAACCCCAAGCCAAACCACTTTATCTTCGTTTTCTAAGCTTTTTTTTTTTGTTTTTTTTTTTTATTATTTTTGTGTCTGGAGGAAGGCCACGCCCAGTTGCCCACTTAACCCGCGCACACGATTTGTGGCGTTTTGTCCTCAATCCGTGGAGCTAAGGTTGGGATTTGGATCTTGGCCAGCGAATTCCTGGCAGAAATGTCGCCAGCTTTTAACACCCCTCGGACCCATGCTTAACCCTCTGCTGCCTGCTACCCCTCCCCATATTTTTTTCACTTTTCCTGCTTTGCATATTTTGCTTTTTTATTATAAGTTTTCCTTCTGCTGCCTCCAAGAGCCACTTCAGTTCGGGCTCTTTTGCTTCGTCCTCGTCGATTTCGCATTGCTGGGCAATCTTTGGTGTCCTGCCACCCCTCCCCTCTGGTATTCCATCCCCCTTTTGGCGTACATGACTAATAGCAGAACTAAACGATTTGATGGACCAGAAAAATGATGACTTCTTTTTCAGTGCAGAGGGTCCTGGTCCTGATTCCGGGGGTGGTTATCCCAATCCGCACACGAATCCGCACACGAATCCGAATCCTTTTGCCCGTCTGTGTGGCAAATCCTTTTATTGTGACAGTTGTTGTTGTTGCCGGTTGCCGGTCGCCTTTTGTGAACAACATTTAATGTTTTCATATTATTATATCGTTGTTGTTGCCGACAGAGAATCGGTTTAATGTTTCGGAAGATAATCTAATTTGGTCACTTATATGCGAATATGTATATCATTTGGCATTATGTGTGGGTTGTCGATGATGGTGTCGCATTGATGTTGCCAACCATGGCCAGTCCTCGATGCCAGAGGCTTTATTTTAAGGGGGGTAACCTAACATCTTAGGATTACTAAATATGTATAAAAAGCTGGATTTTGTTGCCCACTTAAAACGATGTCTATTTCTATGTTTAATGTTCTTAAAATACTCTACTCCCTTTTTGAATTATCCTCGCCACGTCCCTGTCTTAAAACTTTGACTTTAAGTGTGTTTGTATGTGTTTTTGTGTGTTCGAAGCAGCTCAAAGGTTTACGGTCTTAGTATTAGCATTTAAAAAACATTCCATTTACATTTTTTCAATTTGAATGAGTTTTTTATTTAATAATTTGCAATTTGCATGGCATTTTCCAAGGACTTGATGGCCGTTGGCCACTGAGGAGGTCGGCGTCCATATGGCAAAGCACTTTAAGCGGAAGAATTTACGAATGGAAACATGGCTCAATATTTAAATAATTTGCAATAATGCCGGATGGGTATTAAATCTATGTTAGCTTTTTAAATCTATGTTTATATTTTTAAAAGCAAATTTAAGGAAATAATTTAATCCAAAAGACATCAGTTTGGTTTTAAAAATTACAAAATAACTATATGTTTTATTTATTTTTTCTAGTACTCAACCAGAATAATAATAAGCTTTGAGCTAAAAATACAAATTGATTGATTATGAATATTTTGGATCAACAACAAAATTAAATCTTTAAAAAAATAGTATTTTTTCGCTCAAAATAAAATTCAGTACAAAAATAATTATTAGTTTCAACAGATGGGTCTAAGTGGATCAATATGACTATATTAATTGATTCATTTCGTGATTCAAAAACAAATGAACAATTAGCAGTTTCTGGTTTTTGAATTTCTAAGAAATCTTGTAAATTGATTTGTTGCAATAATAAATCTTATCTTTTTCAGGTCTGGTTCCAGAATCGCCGGGCCAAGTGGCGCAAGACGGAGAAAGTCTGGGGCGGCAGTACGATTATGGCGGAGTACGGCCTCTATGGGGCCATGGTGCGGCACTCGCTGCCTCTGCCAGATACGATCCTCAAGTCGGCCAAGGACAACGACGCGGTGGCTCCCTGGCTACTAGGTATGGAACAGAAATGTAAATGCAAAAATCATATCAAATCTTTTAAACTAAGCCCCAAACCAGCAACCCCACATCGCATCTCTATAGCAAACCTAATAAACAGCTTTGGGTTGTTATTTTCTTTTTTTTGTAAAAATCTATTACAAATTTGAACTGCCAGATATATTGTTAACCATTCATTAACGTTTTTTTAGATCCTTCGATAAATGAATAATTTATAGTGTTATTATACTAATTTAATTTATTGGGACATGTCCTTTTTTTAAACATAACTATTTAATATTTTTAATAAAAAAATTTGAGAATAATTTCCGAAAGTACCCAAATTTTTTCATTCAGCACTAAAATTTTGATTGGCGATTTACCAAATTTTTAAAGACAGCTGTATGTCTGAAAAGTCTTCCATAATACACATATATCAGTGGACCTTAAGGAGGGCTTAATTAAATTTCGAGCCGCACAAAGGACAACGGTTCGGGGATTATAAACAGATAGCTGATGGACTGGGTAGAGAATTGTGAGCATATTTGGCGAGCATGTCCAACGACGCTTTTCCGCTTGCCGTCATATGTTGCGCACATTTCCCGGGAATGACTTTGCGGATTATCAGGAGGGGAGTTCCCGGGACAAGTGCCGCTGGTTCGGGGTGACTGCGCTCCTTTATTCGTTAATAATCGCTTAATAAATGCAAAATGCACACGCGACAAGGACGAGGGAATTTCCGTTTTATTTGGCATTTATCGTTTATCTATTTCCATTGTATGCAAGGGGGTGGTGGGTGTCAACTGGGTGGATTCGAAATTGGGTGCTGCGGCGGATTTTACGAGCCGGCTGACTCGATAATTAATTCCCAAGTAGCCGTGGCCAAAGGTTCGCTCGAACTTAAGTGGCTTACCGAGGACTTAGCGGGTCCTTCGACGGGGGAATCCATCCAGGAATAGTTCAGTTTTTAATTAAGTCGATATGTCAAATTAGTTGGCAATTGATGGGGCAGCGGCTGTGTGTGTGTCTGTGAGCCCAAAATTGGTATTAAGTCCATTGTTGTGACAGGATATATTTATTTTAATTTATCTTTTTAGAATGTGGTTCGAAATTGGTACTACATAAATATGAACACTGCACAAAATTGGTTTGGTTTTTGATGTATAATTAATGAAATTAATGAAAATAAGCAAGCCATAGATTCGGAAAAGTAGTTTTAAGCTTATTAATTGAACAATTTTTTATTTGAAGAAAATTATTTAGAATAGAAAGCTATATTTTTTAAAGGGAACAATCTTGAAGTATTGTGGAGCCTGAACAAAAATCTGAATATGAATAATATCAAAACATTATTAAAAGATTAAAACTATTGTTTCAGTTTGACATCTGACGAGTTCAAATCGAAAGACTTTTTAATAAATTATAAGATAGCACTTAAAGAATAACCATGAAATAGTTTAATTTATATTAAATATATGTTTTGTGAGATGATCCCAGTTTTTCTACTTACCCTTAAGGAGTTTAAAAAAGAGTATCACTGAGTTAACCAATTTTTCAATCCCCTGACAGGCATGCACCGCAAATCGATCGAGGCACAGTCGGCGCTCAAGGACGACTCGGGGGTGAGCGACCACGAGGACTCGGCTGGGTCGAAGTCCGCCCACTCGGAGGACCTTTCCCGCTCCCGATCCCGCGCCCTCAGCTCCTCCACCGAGTCCTTGAACGTGGTGAGTCCTGCACCCAGCAGCTGCACCACCTCCGCCTCCACGGCCCCGCCCACCTCGACAAACGGCTACGCGGGGGCGGCCTCCTCGGCGGCTACCACGCCCACCGGCGCCAACAGCTCGGGGAGTCCCCACATCGAGCTGAGTTCGCCCTCACCGCAGCAACTCCAAATGCAACAACATCATCAGCATCAGCAGCAGCAGCAGCAGCATCAACAGCAGCAGGTACCGCTCTACATGGGCGGTGGCGTTGGCGGGGGAGTGGCAGTGCTCCGCCCAGCTACCATCCGCTGCTGGACGCCGCCAATGCCGCTGGCGCAGGAGCAGCCGCCTCCAGCAAGGACTTCCACCTGATCATGAACACCGCCGTGGCAGCGGCAGCCGCAGCTGCTCAGCAGCAACACCAGCAGCAGCAGCAGCAACACCAGCAACAGCAGCAACAGCAGCAACAATCGCAGGGGACGGCGGCAACAAGTGGGTTGCACGCTCACCACTTGGCAGCCGCCCTCATGGAACACGATCCCGATGCCTTTAGGTATGTCAACCACTTGAAAACTAAAAAATCAAGCCTAAGAAGTTTATAAACTTAGCTTATATAGAAGCAGCTGCGGTCAAAATAATAGTAGTTTTTTAAGCATATGGAAATAGCAATCAAAAATAGTATTTTTAAAAGTAACTAAATTAATTATAAAATATGGATTGCATTTGCAGAAACAACTCCATTGCCTGTTTGAGGGCAAAGGCGCAAGAGCACCAGGCCCGGCTCCTGAACAACGGCGGACTTTTCCTGCAGGTGCGAAGGTTTGCCCAAGGCCAGATGCAAGTCCAGGACCCAAGTGATATGCTCAAGCTCAACGAGGAACACAGCAACAACAACAACAATACCCCGCAATCCATTTCCATAAACCCATCCCATATACATGCCCAATCAAATGTCAAAATGGAGCTGACGACCAACGGAGATTCGATGAAAACCTGCGGGGAGATCTAATGAAAGCCCCACTAAATTGAAATCCAAAAACATCCAAACCAAAAATAAGAGAACCTTTTTTTTACTAGACTTAAGGAACATACATAACTCTTGACTTAAGCATAAGATCTGTAATCGAATATTTTAAACAGTAGCATACATATGCTGCATTTAGCTGTAAAAATACGAAATCGAAATATTTTTAATAAATTCTTCATTGAAAATATTTTTTGTTTGCAAATATAATTAAATAGTTTGTGCACCAACGAAAATTTAACATAGGCTAACAGCTATGGCTGAAATAAATATAAGAACAATGCAAAGAATAATATGTCGACTTTCATTGGATGATTTATCTATTATTAATTTTTAATTTTACAACTATATTAAGGCAAATTATCTGCCTCTTTTAAATGAAGAATAATTACCAGTAAGCTTACTGGAATCTGTGTACAATGTAGATTAAGTGTAAAGTTTTAAATTTGTGTCGAGTGTGTGCATATGAAGAATGTAACATTATTGTCGATTGTATGCATGTATCACAAAGCATGTAACATAATTGTTGAATGTATGCACGTGTAGAATGTAGTACTCCTGTCGAATGTATGAACGTGTAGAATGTAACTTAACAGTCAAATGTTTGGTCGTGTAGAGTGTAACATAGCTGTCGAATGTTTAGATTTGTAGAGTGTAACAAAATTGTCGAATGTATATCTTGAGAAGACTGTATACATTGCGTTATTTATAGACTGCGTATTATTTTTAGATTGTAAAACATGTCTAATACGCAGTGCTGTTTTACATTCTACAAAGCTATTAGCACTTCTCGTCAGCAGCGCCATCTAGTGCAGGTGTGTGCTGTCGGTAAAGCAGTGCATCGGCAATGTAGTAGTCCAGAATAACTCTCAATGAACACAGAGAACGGAAATGGCTTAGAGCGCTAATGCTCGCGCTTTCAAGTCCCTAGTAGTTCTCCATCGGACCTTGGTTCGAGTTCACCTAGTAAAAGACATTTGTTCAGTATTTCCATTCGCCACGCGCTACTTGTCGATAATATGACAACATAAGCGTGCCGAAAATGTAACGGAAGGAAAGATTAAATCTCCGAAGGAAGCTGATTGGTTGTTGAATAATAATTCTCATAGACCTTCGGTGCCAAATGACGAGAGACATTCTTTTTTGTCTTCTTTTTTGTTTTATTCAATATTTAAAATAGTTTTTTTGTACGATTTTATTTCATCAGAGAATAAAACGTTTTCTACCGAAATTACAAAACAAATTACTCAAGCCGATGTTAAACCTTTTCTGAACATTTGTTTATTCCCGTTTTTGATATAAGAACTGAAAACCAATTTGTATTTTGACGGCTTTGAGCCAATTTTCAATTAGTTTTGATTAGTTTTAAGTTTTCAACGCTATTGTGGTGTATTGGTCTTTATTGTTATATATGAGTTTTAATTTTTGCATACCAGTATTTGCCTTGCCGAAACAAAAATTATGCGACTAATAACAACTCAATGGAACTGTGAACTAAATTTCCTAATGCTTAGAGGCGTATTCAGTCATTTTAATAAATTAATTTCGATTTTAAAAGGGGCCCAGAAATTGGCCTCCTATTGTCTTGTCTTCTAAATTAGTCGCAGAAGTGGAGGGCAAGGACAAAGAATGTGCGAGAATTCAGGGCGCCCGAAGATAAAATGCGGATGCCGAAAATTAAAAGTAATGCCAGCAACGGAAAGCTGCCATCGGAGAGTGGAAAAAAAAGCAACAGCCGATGAAAGATGGAGGCGGCAGGAAAATGGCCAAAGATGCCTTCGTGCCATCATTTATTTTGGCCGCATTAGCATCCCAAAGCGTTTGCATAGCTGTGGTTAAGGGTGCCGGCGAAAGGGGATCAAAAAGTGGACCAAAAGGGCGTCGAAAAGGAGCGGATGGGGGTGCTAGGCCCGCATTTCAACGCGTCATTTGGCCACCGCAACGTTTGGGCTGAGTAGAATGGATTGAATGGAAATGCCACGGAACACTAAGGAAAAGTGTAACAAGCCAAAATCTACTCCTAATTTACATATTAATTAAAATGTAAACACAAGACGTAATAACACAAATATCCTTTTAGATAAGTTTTGTGTTTATTAATTTAGCTCTTAAGTTTTTTTTTTACTTTTAATAATACAATGTAACACATTTTGTTGTTTAGCCCAAAGATGTGTGACATTTTATATTAATTAATCCAGAAACAAATTTATCTTTTGAATATAAAACAAACTACATTTTCTTTAAAAAGTTTAAGAAAGTCATTGAACATTTTCGTTCACTTATAATTGTTGTCTGTTTATAGTATTTCAGCTAAATGCCTTTCTTTGAGTGTCAGGCCAAGCCAGATAAATTGCACAAGGAACGGCGGACTGACTTTGATTAAATGCGCGTTTGATTTGAAAATGATTTCATTAATTAAGGACGGGCCACCATTTCCCCCTACTTAATTACAAATTATATTTCGGCCAAAAGTTATCACCCAGACCCTGTGGTTATTATGGCCCTTGAAGACTTTATTCATTTGCCGGCCATTGATGTTTATCGCAGATCTGTCGACAGCTAATTAAGCCAGGAAAGAATTATGAACCAGCTATTGGATTGCCATGGCAATTTCTTCCGATTGAACTGCGAAATATAACCTTCTTTAAACTAGCTCCGCTCCCACATAAATCACCCACAAAATTTTCACAAACTCAATATGAACTCCGTCCACACGATTGCATTTCAATCACTCAAGGATTGACCCTGTGCCCCGCATTTTAGCTTTTCCGTCCTGAAAGGAGGCTGACTAACTGGCAAACAAGACTAATTAATTTCACTTTACGTGACTTGCATGGCCGAGAAGGTCGATGGAGGGGCAGAAATTATGGCACATTATGTATGGGAAGTGCTAAGAGCTGCCGGCAGAGAAATAATTAAATGGCCATTTAGCTAAAAGGGCGAGGGAGGCACCGCAAAAAGTAACATAACTATATTGGCACCAATACGACTTAAGTATATTAGAGCAGAATATGCACGAGAAATACAAAAATCATTTGATATAAAAATACCACGCGCTTCTAAAAAAAACAATTTAAGTAGTTGTTAAGTTTTATGTTTTAAATTAAATTGAAATAAAAAATAAAGTGTTTTTATTTATATTTATTTTAAAAGGTAGTAAAAAAGCTTGCCTTTATTTACTTATCACCGTGTAAACAGCCAATAAGTAAGCAAGGTCACGGTCACATGACAGCCCCTGCACTTTCAGTGCAATGAAGGAACCATTTTGCCTTTGCCCAATTTATAAATATTTATCATTTATTTAATGCTTTTTGTTTTAGCGCTAATAGGCATAAAACGCATGAATATATTGCGCCCTTCATTATGTTGTTTAGCGTACTTGGCTGAAAATTTGCTTATGCTCGGCAAACAACTAACTATGAATAAATCGTGCCAGAAATAGACAAGAATCGGGGCGAAAACTTCATCAAACAGGCAACAAAAGTAATAATAATGAGGCGGCTTAGCGGGGGAAAAAACAGCAACAAAGGCCGAGGCGAGAGAGAAACGCCCAAGGTGAGTGTATATTTGTGGGTGGTGGGTGGTGGGCGGTGTTTGAAAAAAGATTTGAAAAGCCAACAATGGCAACAGCTTACAGAAACCAAAACAAAAACAGAAACAGATAAGAGGGCTCCACAGGATACCTGTTTATTCTCAGTTTCAGTGCGGATAAGGTAAACAAAAGTGTTCAGGTGAGTTCCCTACTTTTTTGCAGGTGCCAGTTGGCGATATCATAGCCATAAAGTGGAGGCTACCGAAATTCTATATGGCCATGCTTAGTACAAAATTGTTTGTTGACAATCAATGGGAATAATATTTATAGTGCCAGGTCTTTAAGCACACTTGGCATATAAACTTTTTAATTAAAAATGTTGTATGTTAATTAATAAAACAAATTACACGTTTTTTTTTAAATTTAATATATTGTCAAAAATTTATGTATAATTATAAACATAACAATTCAGAGGCTATACATATTGTGCTGCAGGTTTATTTACAAGCAAACTATTAACAAGTATATTTACTTGTGACACACAAATATTACTTAACTAAGGTACCAGCAAAATGTGTTCAGATATGTATACATATAGATAGAGATTTGTATATATATTTACGCTTTGTTAACCAGTTATCAGGGAAAGAGGAAGAAGCAGAGTCAGAAGACCAGCACAATAAGAATTATCTCTTTGGCATTTGCTCTCTGTTGTTAGTGGTTCCTCTCTGGCATTTCTCTCTCTGCAGTATATATGTACGTTATTTCCCGATCGACTGACTTTATCTTCTTCTTTTCCTGACCTATATCTAGCGACTTTTAGATAATACATCCAGTAACTTTGCACATTTTCCGCCCTTTAGCACTAAACTAGCAGACTTTACAGTTATGTTTAATGCGTAAAGTTTAATGCAAACGATACTCTCTGGCACACACAGATTCAGTCGTGCTCACACAGATACTCACGCTCTCAGTCACAGATACACACACACACACACATGCCACAGTGGAGTAGTAAGCTTCAAACCCACAAAAAAAAACACAGAAAAAGCTGGGCTTGTGCACCTGAATCCATGTCTATATCGTTTGGGTGGAAACCTCCCTCTGGCGACTGCGCCTATAGTTTCCATAGGCCTCCAATCCGTTGATGCTAAATGCTGTCAGGCCGAAAAACTGGAAAAAAACACGCAGAAATGGGGTATTAGACGGGTCTAAAGAGAAACCCCGTTGTGGCAATCGCAACAAGTGGATGAATCAGACGTTAAAAAGCAGTCAACGAGAAGTACGTCCTAAAGTTTAAGCCTGCATCCGAATTTCGGATTACTTAATGGCTATGTATTAAACCTTAAACGTAACCTTGGCATAAGATTAGTTTTCAATTCGGTTCAATAAGATTTTAAAATTTAAAAAAAAGTAATTATAGCAAAATCAATTAATCGAAGAATATTTAAAATAAATAAATAAAGTTTTAAATTTAGTTTTAAGCTTTAAGCTAAATAAAAAACAAAAAATGTTGAAAAATGTTATATGAACTGGCTTAAAAATCATTATTTTACAGCAAAATAATTTCATTTTTCCATTCATAACTGAAAAATATTATAATATTCATAAACAAAAGGAATACCAAAATTATCTGATTATTATATTTAAAATGGTATTTTTAACATTTTAATTAAATTGCATGATTAAATATTAAAATATTTAATTAATGCTGAATATATTAGTTTTAAAATAGTTCCCATTTGATCTAATTGCAATTATTTAATTTAAATCAATTCGGATCAGAATTCAGGCAATGGATAGAAATCCAAAAAAAAAAATTTACATTAAGAACAAAATATTTTAATTTACTAGGTTTTTTTTTAACTGTGTACCCAAATGACTTTACAACATTACCCATAGTTTTGCTAGTGGCTTCAATGCTTTTGAGGGTGTTCTGTTCAATTGGAAATAATAACATATGACAGCTTTTCAGGTCTGGCCAAAGTGCCCCAAATTCGGATCGATTTCGGAGGGATATCCTGCCCCAAATTCGTTTCGATTTCGGTGGGATTTCCTGCCGGAAGCACCTTGCGCTTTGAACTCACCGCCGCCGCCGTGTAGGCCGCGATGTCCAGGGACAGGACGAGTCCGGAGGCCGTGAAGTAGGCCAGGGCCAGCGAGGAGTGCACCGCCAGGGACCAGAGCGTGGGATCGCAGCGGCAGAACTGGCGCTGCCACATTCGGAGGTATCTGGCCAGGAGCAGGGCCGCCGTGGTCACGAAGCCAATGGAGACCACCGCCAGGTAGAAGCTGCCGCGGAAATTGCTCACGCGTACCGGCCCGCAGACGATGCACAGAAATCCAATAAAGCTGCACAGCTGTTCGAATCGAGGGGAAATGGAAAATTCAATAGAGTGTTCCCACTGTGGAGCGAAGTGAATGGCTAATTACCAAACAGGCAATCTTGCACAGGCCCGGCATGCTGCGCAGGTACTTGCGATCGTAGTCCTGAGGGCCCGACATTGTGGCCGATTTATGGGGTCCCGCAGATCCAGATATTCCAGATAGTCGGTCCGGCTAGTTCAGATAGTCCAGATAGTCCAGCTGATGCCACAGAGTCGAGTGAAAATATAGCGCCGCTGACTAATTCACATTGCGCTCTCCAGCACGCACAGCACGCCACTGAAATACAACTAATAAAACTGCTCGCAAACACTCAGAATTCTCCCATCGTCGAATTCTCACACTCGGCGAATAAAACAAGAAAATGCGAGAGCGGCAGTGAGAGAGCGAGCAACACATGGCACAGTGGTACAGGGCTGGCTGAAACAGCACGATATATTTACTACTATAGCTAAAAAATAAGATAGTTAAATATTGTATAGTTTCCTATTAGCATATTAACGATTTGATCTTTTTTAATCAGAGAGTTTATATTATTTATAATTTAACTTTTTTTTTGGATAAACATATATTTCTTATGATATGTTGTATGATAAATAATATGGTTTCTTATTAATATATAATCTTATAATATTTAAAAAATATATAATAAATTCTGTAGTTTTGAATATTCAGTGTGAAGAACATTTCGTAATATTGCTTCTAGTTTGATGGTAAATATAAACTCCAATGTATATTTATTTGTATTGCCTTTTAACAGTACCCGTTGTGAATAAATAAACAAATATTACGATATTCCTTTTTTTAGGCCAATAACTATAGGCCTTACCTGTCTGTAGCCCAAATTAAGTTAATTTGAGTGGGTCCCGTGTATGCGTGAGCTACATTGCTTCGTTACATTATACTAATTTTCGTTAGGGGGTGTTAAGGGGTGAAACAGACTGAGTGACTCACTGCCGCCCAGGGACATACTAAATATGCATTTATTAAGTAAGGCGACGGCTAGGTGGGTTGACAAAAAAAGCTTTTTATTTGAAGCAGCATTAGCAGCTGGATTTTCATATATTTTAAATGTCGATCGTTCTAATCTCCGCCACTGTGCCTTCGATTTTCCATCTCTAGCTGCCGTCAGCATCATTAGCTTCTATAATTTTGTTTCTTTTAAAACTGATAAACCCATTGTGCGCGCGGCAATAGCTCATCTCAATCTATTCTGTTGGAAACTCAAATCGAATCCGTTATCGGCTATGCCCGAATCGTTGATTTTTATTATTATCGGCCAGCATTCTAATTGATAAGTAACTAAGCATATGTATAGGTGTCCACAACCGAAATGCAAATACGAGCCACCCAAAATCAAATGCAATTTCAGCGTGATTCACATCGCTAAATGCAAATCACACATCACACCAAAGAGAATATCAAAACAAACACAAACAATTTGAATATAGCTTTTGGGGTAGAGTGTTGATTTTTAAATACTCTTCCAGGAATGATAGTTTCTAAAAATGTATATTGTAGCTCCTTTATTTTAAACTGTGTAATTGTACTTCAAAACCTGATTGTGCAATTAATAATAGAGTGTTCCAAATTAATAACAAAAATTTATAAAAAGTCATTGTTCTCAGACCTTTTTGTAGGGTAGAGACATCAGTTTGAGTTCTATTAATTGAGATCATACTCAGGGAGATGGTTCATTTGCTGAATGGGTGCATGGGTGGCACCCCTCTCCCTCCATCTTCACTCCCCTAGACCAAGGTCACTTGTACAATCGCTCCGACTGACTGAGATTCAGATACACTCTCAGTCTCAGATGCAGAACGGAAAATTCTGAGGGCGATAGAAAATTCTAATCGACGGAAATGGGCAACAACAACCGGAACTGACGAGAACGTAGTGAACACAAAAACTGGGAATCGGGAATGCTGAGAAGGCGGGTTTTCCACACTATCTAATGTCGCCTCAAACGAACTGTACTTGAGCAATTTAACCGACAAGCTGAAGTTTTCGTCTCGAGCGTGACAAAACAGTCATACGACTTCCAGGGCAACTACTGTTTACACGATTTCTAAAAATAAAAATTCGAGATTTGCGCTAATCGATAAAGAGTGAATGGGAAATAATCCAAGAAAATTCGCTGGAGAGCTTATTTTTAGCCATGGAAATATGAGTTTATCTTAACGCAACTACATTTCTTTCAAAGAAATGCTTACTAATTACATATAATTGGCAGTGGAACAAAATGATAAAAAAATATTATTTAACCGCTCTCCATTTTAAAATTTGTGAAAGTTAAAATTCTCCAACAATTTAGTCTAACTAAATTTTTTTATTTTTATGTTGTATTGAAAATGCTTATTTATATTCACGTTTATTGAAAATAATGCTCAAATACTTAATTCATTCTAAATAAATAAATATTTATAATCTTAATATTTTTATTCTTTTTTTCTATCGTAAAAAAATCTCATGATAAGAGCTTTAGCTTTTTTAAACTAGATATTCATCTGATATTTAATTGCACAATGCTAAATACGAATTATTAAGTGCAATTTCTCGCCTACGATTCATGCACACGGATGGGGTTTTCCTCGATTTTCCCAGTCTTTCCTCGCTGTTTTGGGTTGTGAGGAGGGGGATTGGGAAATGTGGGTGCATCTAATTAGAAAAGCAGTCGCTGTAATTGGCAGCTGCAGCATCAGCGAGTTTTTGTTTGCTTTGGCGAAAGGATAATGGGAAGCAGGGCCCAAGGAGCGGCATGTGAGTGAGTGTTCTGTAGGAGTGTTCTGGTTGCCACAATCTCTTAGAGATTTAATAGCTTTAAGGGGGACGTAATAAAAGTTGGTAGTTCATCTCCCACGGAAGTGTACAATTTGAAAAATATGTGTAGTAGTACCTATAAGAGGTAATTCGCGAAAAAGAAAAATCAGAGCCCGGAACGTGGCCATATGTTGACACTTCCCGACTCACCCATTGAGATTCATTCGGAGCTCCTAAATGATGACAAACTTGGCTCTAACTTGGGCAATTAGTCGGAAGTTGGAGAAACCGTATGCCAGCGAGGAGATAATTAATCTCAGGCCCCTGGAAGAAAGTCAGAAGAAAGTAAGGAGTCGTGGGGGAGTCGGCAGTCATTTCTCATCCTCGACAAAGAAGTGTGCCAGCTGGGAATCTGTCAGATACAGATTCGAATGCAAATTTCGTGCAGTGCTGTCAGACTCTTCAGCTGACGTGACGAGAGCGAGAACCCCAAAAAAGAAAAACCCCGAAATACCAACGACCTCAGCATATCTGCCAAGTTTATTTGAATCTGATATTCCCTTCATCTTTGGCTGCTTTTTCTGTTCTGCAGCAGCAGACGCCATCTGCCGGGGGCTAAAGCAACCACCCTGAGACCTGGCCAACTTTCCCCATTTTCCCCCGCTTTTCCCAGTTTTCCCTTCAAAGAATAGAACATTTATGCGCCTTATAAATGATTATCGTGTGCACTCAAGTGCCAGCGTCATCAATCAAATGGGACAAGTGCAACAGGATGTCCTTTTCTCGAGCTACAGATACATCCTTTATTTGTGTCTGTATCTTTATGTACTGGGTTCGTGTTTGTCTGCGATTCACGGGATGAACATCTTGTATTTGCATTGCCATATTTATTCTACTTAATAATGTAGTAAAAAACTTGGCTTGCCTTTAAATGGCAACAAATCGTAACAATAAAAAAATAGAAAATATATCATGTGTACCACTCAAATTTGGAATTCTGTAAGCACTAAAGCTTCTCTTTTAAATTTGATTTCTGCGGGTAATTTATGCTAATGAATTGCTCTTTTTTTTCCTCTCCCCATTCGCCAATCAATCCGTCAATCAATCAAGGGAAATAAATTTCCATATAGCTCATTAATGACCCTCCCACATACCTACCCAAAAAATATTGAGTTTAAATCAATTTAATTGGCATTTTATTGGCCCTGTCCACACTGAATTTCCCCTATTTTCGCTCCCTGCGATTTTTCCATTTTATCTTGAGAATCTGCTCCCCGGAAAATTTGGCTGCCCTTGCACATTTTAAAGCAATTTTCTGCGCGGTGATTTTTGATCAATTTATTTGGCTAGGTGGTCCAAGGACCATGACTTCGTCCGTACTTGCCACTTATGTAAGCTGAAAAGTAGTCTGCCATTCCGGAAAACCCAGTTACAGTTTCAGGTGTTCTCCCCCGAGTGGATGGTGCCTTTTTCAATTCGAAATTCGAATTGAGAGCGTGCCGGGAAGTCAATGCCGAGGAAAAGCCACAGTCAATGTGCCGGGGAAATTGGATTGGCACGTAGACCAATGACCACGTACTCAAAATGCCAAGCAAATTTACGTTTGCATACGGTATCGGTGATAACTCAAGTGTATATATAGTAAATACTATGCGCACTTCATATGGAAACCATTTTGGGTAACAAAAGCCACTTTCATTGCGGTTGACTGCGCTCTAATTGTGGTCTAGATGCTTCGTATTAAGTAAGAGAAATGTGGCTGTTGCCCTTCAGGACAAGAGATGTATCAATTAAATTGATTTCACAACGAAGTATATGTTTCTCTTACAAGCATCAACTTGAGGTGCCTAAAAGTATAGTGCAAAATATTTCCCATAGGTTTTCAAAGCATTTTGTTTTGTGTATAAAAATCCACACTCAAAATGGGAAAAAGGATAAACAATAGATCAACAATCATATATTTTAAATTATTATTCAACCAATGTTTTGTTTTTTATTAATGTGAAAATACGAATAATATAATATTCCATACATTAATAAAAACTTTTGCTTCTACCTTTTAAATGAATTTAATTATTTCAGCCATGGTTACTTTTTCTCTCAGTTCTCGTTTATTCTCGTTTCATCGTTCCTCAATGCAATTACGTAATTTATGAAATTACTACAGTAGAAGTGACTTTAGCAACAATTTTCGTTAAAGAAAAAATGCAGCGCATACAAAGACATCCCACAGACAAGTACCCACACACCCATACACACTTAAAAGGAAACTGCTGCTTACATATACACCCACAAGCACACTCACACACACACACATATATATATGGCACCCAAGGCAACAAACGGCAAAAATGGAAATCTAAGCTGATGATTGGCCCCACCCACACACTCAGGACGCTTGTGTGTGTGTGTGTGTGTGAGTGTGGGCGGGGTTTTCTCCTGCACACTTACGCTTACACATGCACGCAGCATACCGCTGCATATAATAATCAAATTATCAGTTATGCCAACTGCTTT